GTTTGTTTGTCTAGTTGGTTTTGTCATTGGTTTCAGAGAACTTCTTGATTTCTGCTGTAATTTCATTATTTACCCAGGAGTCATTCAGGAGCAGGTTGTTCAATTTCCATGTAATTGCGTAGTTTTGAGTGAGTCTCTTAATCCTGAGTTCTAATTTGATTGCACTGTGGTCTGAAAGACTGTTTGTTATGATTTCTGTTTTTTTGCATTTGCTAGGAGTGTTTTATTTCCAATTATGTGGTCAACTTTAGAATAAGTACCATGTGGCACTGAGAAGAATGTATATTCTGTTAATTTCGGGTGGAGAGTTCTGTAGATGTCTACTAAGTTATTTTCCTTCTAACAGGTAGGCCTCTCTTCTGCAGGTCTGCTGCAGTTTGCTAGAGGTCCCCTCTATACCCTCTTTGCCTGCGTATCATCAGTGGAGGCTGCAGAACAGCAAAGACTGCTGCCTGCTTCCTCTGGAAGCTTCAACCCAGAGGGGCACAGGCCTGATACCAGCTGGAGCTCTCCTGTATGAGGAACCTGTTAACCCCTGCTGGAAGGTGTCTTTCAGTCAGGAGGCACGGGGGTCAGGGGCCCACTTGAGGAAGCAGTCTGTCTCTTAGCAGAGCTCAAGCACTGTGCTGGGAGAATCTTCCTTGGCAGTATCCGCTGCTCTCTTCAGAGCCAGCAGGCAGGATCATTTAAGTCTGCTGAAGCTGCACCCACTGCTGTGTCCCAGGGAGATGGGAGTTTTATCTGTAAGCCCCTGACTGGGGCTGCTGCCTTTTTTTCAGAGATGCCCTGTCCAGTGAAGAGGAATCTAGCGAGGCAGTGTGACCACAGTCACTTTGCTACACTGTGGTGAGTCCTGTCCAGGCTGAACTTCCCGGCCCCTTTAGCACTGTCAGGGGAAAACCGCCTACTCAAGCCTTAGCAATGGCGGACACTCCTCCCCCTCCACCAAGCTTAATTGCCCCAGGTCCACTTCAGACTGCAATGCTGGCTGTGAGAATTTTAAGCCAGTTTTTCTTAGTTCACTGGGCTCCCTGAGAGTGGGACCCTCTGAGCAAGACCACTTGGCTCCCTGGCTTCAGCCCTCTTTCCAGGGGAGTGAATGATTCTGCCTCGCTGGGGTTCTAAGTGTCACTGGGGTATGAAAAAAACAAAACAAAAAACTCTTGAAGCTGGCTTGGTGTTTACCCAAACAACCTCCCAGTTTTGTGCTTGGAACCCAGGGCCCTGCTGGTGTAGGCGTATGAGGGAATCTTTTAGTCTGTGGATTGCAAAAGCCATAGGAAAAGAACAGTATCTGGGCCAGGTAGCACAGTCCCACATAGCTTCCCTTGGCTGAGGGAGGTTCCCCCCTTGCACTTCCTGGGTGAGGCAACGTCACATCTTGCTTCTGCTGCAGACCCAAGCTGTTTCTATTGAGTCTTCTTGCCAGATCTCCCTCAAAAAGGCATTTGTAAAGCATCAGAGATCTATGGAATTACAACCAAATGACTTTCAATCCAGAGTAGGGAGAACGAATTAGCAACCTGCTACTTTTGTTATTTTTCTTTTTTCATGGATCAGACTGTGGCCAAGACAGAGAAACTGTGTTTGCAGAAAATGAAGCTAGCACTTTTTTTAGTGGTTATGTGGACTAGGGTGACAATACTAAATTTTGAAGGATTTTGCTACAGTTTGAATATTTGTCCCCTCCAAAACTCAGGTTAAAATTTTATTGCAAATATAATGTCATAGGGAGGTGGGGCCTCTAAGGCCCGTAAGATTTCTGCCTTTATATGTGAGTTTAGTGCCTTTACAAAAATAACTTTCCGGAGTAGGTTCTTTCTCTCCCTGTCTCACCTTCTGCCATTTGACGGTGCAGCAAGAAGAACCTCACTAGACGCTGGCCCCTTATCAGCCTCTAGAAATGTAAGCAAATACATTTCTGTTCATTATAAATTACCTGATCTTTGATATTCTATTGTAGCAGTACAAAACAGACAGTGTTCAAATCTTCACTCTTCCTATAAGCCATTTGCTAATTCTACGACAAAATTCGGGAATATAAACCAAGGCAAAAAAAAACTAAAAAAGAAAAAAAAAAAAAAAGCCAACTGCCCAAAGCTCCCGAAGTCCTCTGTATTTAAGGGAACAAAGATTAGCCAGAAGGAGCTATAGACAAACAAACCACCGAACAGCAGTCGGTGAAATCGTTTCTCCCAGGAGCAGTGCCTGACACCAGAGATCTAGCGTATGGTCACATCCGGCAATGGCGATTGATTCTGGAAATGGCTGAAAGCTGCAAAACCAATTCTGACCCTTGGCCGAGGTCATGGCTTTGGGACTGAAAAATCAGTGAAAATTGTACTATTCACGAAGAACGATAGTGATAAAACTGGAAAAGATAGGAGCCTTAAATACATGGCTGATATCACCCTCAAGACTCAAGATACTTGCCAGTCTTTGATGCTGTATTTATTAAGATATTAAATTATTAAAATAAAAACATCTCAAGGGAAGAACTAAATTTTCCATAGATTATGGGGCTAGGGTAACTCAGTGTTACCAAAACAATTAATTCCTCTAATTCCTTCACCAAAATGGTCACCTGACCTCCTTATTTCCTTGAAAGAAAATTAAAGTAGAATATAACTTTATCTGGGCCTCTGACATATAATAGAAAAAAATTATGAGACTTGCAAAAAAAATTTTTCTTCACTTAATTAGGTGAAATACTATTCTAAAAATGAGTTTAAAAACTATTTGTTTTATAGTACTGGTGCAATTTCCATGAAAAATATTTGACTTGTGTTTTGTAAGCCAAATGGTTTACTACAAACACAGGAATAAAAAGAAGTGTTAGGCCAGGCAGTGGCTCATGTCTGTAATCCCAGCGCTTTGAATGCCAAAGCAGGAGGATCACTTGAGAGCAGGAGTTCAAGAACAGCCTGGGCAACATAGTGAGACCCCATCTCAACAAAATATAACTTAAAAATTAGCTGGGTGTGGTGGTGTTCACCTGTAGCCCCAGCCTCTCTAGAGGCTGAGGCTGAGGCTGAAGTATCTTGAGCCCAAGAGTTTGAGGCTACAATGAGCTATGATTGTGCTTTAAGCAGAAAACTTAAGGGGTTGAGGAAAATTATTCATAAGTTATATAGTTAATTTAATAACAGTTTAATTATAATTTTCACATTTTATTCCTTTAAGAAATGAATAACTGTGCCTGGCTTCTAATGTTTAAATCACTTTATTGTTTCTAGTTCCTCTTTCTTACTGTAGAATTTATTCGTAAGAGCAGTCCTACAAAACACCTTTGCCGTACCTTCAAAGATCTTAACGTGCTGCCATCTGAAAAGAGCAACAAGTGCATCCTGTTTCCAAATGAATTGACAATATATTTGCACCTGCTTTCTTTTTAAAAATTAACTTGGACTCATGTGACATTGGAAAGCATCTATTGAGCAAGGGAACAAGAGAGGGAGGAAGAGAGATGCCAGGCTCTTTTAAACAACCATCTCTCATGTGAGCTAACAGAGCAAGAACCCACTCATTGCCATGGGGAGGACACCAAGCCATTTACAAGGGATCATAAAGGACCCAAACATCTCCCACCAGGCCCCATCTTCTACACTAGGGATCACATTTCAGCATGAGATTTGGAGGGGACAAGTATCAAACCAAATTACATGGAGACAAAACAAAGTAGAAAAATAAAAACAGATAAATAGGTGAATGAAATGTGTTATATACTCAGCAGTAAAATTTACGAGGAATTGAAGTTGGGGGGGGAGGAGAAAAAGTGGAAACAGCAACAAAAATAAACCCAGAATACTCAGGACAGGATAAACAGAAAAATCATAGCAAGGTATAATTTTATGGAAAACAAGGATGAAAATACACTTTTAATATTAACCATGGGAGGAGAAAAACAAAAATAATTTAGAAATCGAACTTCTTTTTTTTCTTTTAGATGGCATCTTGCTCTGTCACCCAGACTGGAGCGCACCAGCATGATCTCAGCTCACTGCAACCTCCGCTTCCCAGCTGGGATTACAAGCACCCACCCACCACTCCCGGCTAATTTTTATTTTTTGTATTTTTAGCAGAGACGGGGTTTTGCCATATTGGCAAGGCTGGTCTTGAACTCCTGACCTCAGGTGATCTGCCCACCTTGGCCTCCCAGTGTTGACATTACAGGTGTGAGCCACAGTGCCTGGCCAGGAACGTAACTTCTTTGTTTTTTGTTGTTGTTGTTTTGTTTTGTTTTTTGAGACGGAGTTTTGCTCTTGTTACCCAGGCTGGAGTGCAATGGCGCGATCTCGGCTCACCGCAACCTCCGCCTCCTGGGTTCAGGCAATTCTCCTGCCTCAGCCTCCCGAGTAGCTGGGATTACAGGCGTGCACCACCATGCCCAGCTAATTTCTTGTATTTTTAGTAGAGACGGGGTTTCACCATGTTGACCAGGATGGTCTCGATCTCTTGACCTCGTGATATACGCGCCTCGGCCTCCCAAAGTGCTAGGATTACAGGCATGAACCACCGCGCCCGGCCCAGGAACATAACTTCTTCAGAGAAACAATGGAAGGACAGAATTTAAAGGTCGCTGCTTATGAGGAAGCTGGATGAGGTTGTCTGATATGCTTAGGGCTCAGGGGATTGGTTTGACCAGGCATGCCACTCATGTGGCCGGTGAAGAACCTGGCCCTCCCACCCTAGCCTTTTAATATGCAAATACAGGACGCCATGATGTTCTACACCAGTGGGATATGTAGGGGCGGCTATGTTGCCAGGCAAATGTAGGGGCAAGAGCAAGAAGAGTAGGGCAGGAATTGCCATGTTTGGATGGATCCAGTTTCTAATGGCCTGCATTTGCATATCAAAGCTTGCCTGCGACTTTCTGGAGCTGCTTTAAAAGAAACAAAAACTTCCCAAGGACCCCTTTTACTCTCTATCTGCCTAGAATAATTTCTTCGTAACTCCTATAATAGTATGTAGAAGTAAAAATAAAAATGTAGACACAAATCTCTAAATGTAATGTTTTATTTGGAAAGAAAGAATTGCAGTTCGGGGTATACACATGGTCTTCGGTATATCCAAAGAACAAAGAGAAGGTTAGGGGCTTTCCACATTGCTTTTTCAGAAGGTTCATTGACACTTGTAAGGATCTGGGGAGCGGGAAAACTCCGAGTGTTCAGTGACAACAGTGTGAGCAAACATTAGTCCTAGAGTTGCAGTAAATTATTTCAGAAGCTAAAGATAAAACTGGTTTCTGGTTACAATAGGCAGTTTCAGCAGCCAGGCTTGCAGATAATTACATTTTTAGAGCAATGTTTTGTACCTCGAATGTTTTCCCTGCTGGCTTCTCCACTCTGTTTTATTTAGGTATGAAAAGAATTACCCAATTCTTATAATTGACTTTCACACCTAAATTACCTCCCAAAGGCACCCTCCTAATACCACACCATTGGGAGTTAGAATTTCAAATATGAATTTTAGGGGAATAGAAACACTCTCCATGACATTCTGACCCTGGCAAAGTTTGTGTTCTTTTTGCTTGCATTTATTCCATCCTATTAACCCAAGTCTTAACTTTTTGCAGAATCGATTGTAAAGTCTAAAGTTCGGAGTCTCGAGGGACTTCTTTTCCCGAGTCCACAAGGGGTGTGTTTCAAATGCAGGGATTTCCTTTGAGCACCTCCTCCAGGAACCAGAGAAGTTTCAAATGTAAAGTTATTTTTCTGGCTTTCCCCACGGGGGCCAGGTAGGGAAAACCAGGTGGGGCTCTTTGTGTGGCTCTTTTGTCCCAAAATCCCACTGAAAGCTCTGGGAGGAGGGGGCTCTGTAACTCAGGATTGTGGAGCAAGTAGCCAATCTGGTATCAGAATCAAAGATCAATCACTCCAGAGGAAATGTGAAAGAACTCCTCTCATTGGACAAGAACGTGAATGGGGCGGGAATAACTCAAGGGTTAAAACTCCAGCTGCTCCTACCTATACTGATTTCCCACTCTGGGCTCCCTTCCCACAGCAGCGTGGGAGCTGTCTCTCTCTCTCACTCTCTGTCTAATAAATCACTCTTCCGCAAAACTCTTGGGGTCCACGATATTTATTTGAACAGCAAGCTCACCGAGGACCCTTTCCCCATTCTTCAGGGTTAGCCCTCCCATTTCTGGGAGCTGGATATGCTCTCCCGGTTACAGTCTTATCTAAATATCATCAAACAAGATATGCATGAGACTCAAGATTCTATTTCAGAGGCAAAATTTCTCCCTAATTGTGAACCTGTGAAACCAAACAAGTTCTGTGCTTCCAAAATACAATAGTGGGACAAGCATAGTATAGACATTACTATTCCAAAAAGAAGAAACAGAGAAAGAGAAACAGTCCTAGTACTCAAGCAAGTCCAAATCCTAGCAAAGGAAACTTCATAAGATCTTAAGGCTGGAGAATAAAGCCTTAACATAATCATGGCCCACTGGGGCAGCAGTCTCACCTTCCTGACCCAGGGTTAGGAAGGGACCATTAAAAGTGGCAGGGACAGGGTCGGGAAGGGACCCATTAAAAGTGGCAGCATGACCCCCACAGGCAAGCAAGGCATTGCCCATACTGTGTCTCTGTGCCGTGGCCCTACCCGTAAGGCAATTTCCTGCGGAGGTGGAGTTGCCCTCTCAGGGATCTGCTGGGCTTCTCTTCCTTCACTGATCCCCTGGGTGTTGGTCCTTCCTTTAGAAATTAAAATAGCGCTCCTCCCCCAGCCCTGCCACTCTGGGCTTATGGTGGGAGAGACAGCCTTGAGGAATTGCCTTCAGGATCTTTATTCTTTTGTCTTGGAGAATCATGCACGTTTGCATTGGAATTGGTCTATGGTCTGATCCTGTGGAGTCTAAGAAGTCTGACAGTCTTTTGTCATCTTGTCCTGTTTTCTTTGTTTCCTTTGGTCTCAGTGGGCAGTGTTTCCGCTGGTATAGTCCCTTCATTGTTCCTGGCTTTTACTGACATGATCGATCATCCCTACACAGTCTTCTGCATGCAGATGTATGTATTTGGAGTTGAACAGTTTTCTGTGTAGCCTTTGAAGCTTGAGGCGTAGACTGCACAGTCTCCCTTCTGCATTTCAATTATTGTTAGTCTAGAGAAGAGACAATTAGAAGTTACATTAATGATTTTATTAATGCAGGAAAATAAAAATGAATAATACCTACTAAACTTCAAATATAGGAATTTAATATCATTTGAGGAGATTTTAGGACCATACCTGGTCCCAATTCATGAACAAAATACAGCCAACTCAGATAATAAAAGTAAAAATTCCTTTCTATTGTAAATAATATGCCACCATTTTTTACATTCCAATTAGTTACACTGGAAACTAATCACTTCTGAATCTAAAATCTCTTCATATGTATACCCAAGTTAAATGAAAGCTTTAAAATGTTTATTTTAAAACAAATATTTACATTAAAAATAAATTCATAATTCAACTTAGAATTTGATACTGTGGTTTGTGGAAAAATAAAACATTTTCTTCAGATGTACGCAGTTTTACTTGGTAAGGAAATGAAAACAAAATTTAAAATCGTCTAATCCATATATACACACATTCACATGTGTGTGTTTGTGTGCATGTGTTAGGCATTCCATGTAGAGATTTCTACATCTACATATGTGTTTTACTCTAGCATCTTTAATCTTTTGGAGTTATATGATTAATATAACTTGTTTAATTAATATAATTTGTTTTCTTTCATAGCAGATGAGAAATAGCTCAAGAAAGAGTGAGGATGTCACTTCAATGTAAAATGGGCAAAAAATGAAAAAGATTATGGTCTAATGCTATCCCTATTTAAAAGAACAATGTAATAACCTCTGTTCTATAATTGAATAATTGGCCGCTATAGGGAGAAAACAATTTTTTTTTTTTTGAGACAGATCTTGCTCTGTTGCCCAGGCTGGAGTGCAGTGGCTCAATCTTGGCTCACTGCAACCTCTGACTCCCAGGTTCAAGTGATTCTTCTGTCTCAGTTTCTGAGTAGCTGGGATTACAGGCATGTGCCACCATGTCTGACTAATTTTTGTATTTTTAGTAGAAACAGTGTTTCACCATGTTGACCAGGCTCAGGCTGGTCACAAACTCCTCACCTAAAGCGATCCACCCACCTCGCCCTCCCAAAGTGCCGGGATTATAGGGTGTGAGCCACCATGACCAGCCCCAGCCTAAATATAAATATTTACTAAACTATGATGATATGTTAGCATAAAACAAAATATTTTTAAAAGACTGAAGGAAAGGCAAATAGAAAAAGAAAACCAAATGGAACAAATAACAAACAGTAAGATAACTTAAAGCATACCTAATCACATTTAATAGAAATGTCCTAAACATTCCAATTTTAAAAGCAGAAATTGTTAGATTAGATTTAAAAAGTGAGATTCAACTATATTCTGTCTATAAGAAACTCACTGTTAATATAAGCTGAAAATATATACCACTCTAGTACTAAACAAAAGGAAACTAGAGTGGTTATATTTATATTACTCAAAGTAGCATTACAACACACAAAATATCATTAGTTAAAGTGCTCATTACATAATGTTAAACTCATAAATTCATTAGGATTATGCAACAATATTAAACATTTATGCAACTGAAAACAGAGCTTCAAAATATATAAGGCAAAAATTTTCTTGACCTGCAAGGAGAAATACATACATCCATTATTACACATCAAGAGTTTGATACTTTTTTTTTTCTGAGACAGAGTCTTGCTGGGTTGCCCAGGCTGGAGTACAATGGCATCATCTTGGCTCACTGCAACCTTCCCCTCCTGGGTTCAAGTCATTCTCCTTCCTCGGCCTCCTGAGTAGCTGGGATTACAGGTACCCACCACCACACCAGGTTAATTTTTGTATTTTTAGTAAAGATGGGGTTTTGTCATGCTGGCCAGGCTGGTTTCAAACTCCTGCCCTCAGGTGATCTGCACCCCTCAGCCTCCCAAAATCCTGGGATTACAGGTGTGAGCCACTGTGCCCAGCCTTATTTTTAAATAATTGATACTCTATGGTCTTTTAGCCTGACTGATGGTGTCATGGACACCATGTTAACCTCTGTGACCTGCATGGACACTCCAGATGAGTTCCTGGAAAATCTAAAGTAAGTAGAAGACCCTGAAAAGAGGAAGAAATGATCAACCCTTACTTAACTTTTAGATGTTCTCTATTGTTGCTTATTCCCGCCCCAATTGATAAGGCTATTGGCCTTTGTAACTGACCTTGGTCAACCTCGTGACTCCATACCCTACAACCCCCTCCCAGCTTGTAGAAAACCTCCTTAAACTGTAACTTTCCACAGCCCATCCCAAACCTACAAAACCAACTCCTATCCCTCTGCCCCTCACTGACGCCATTTTTGGCCTCAGTCCACCTGCAACCAGGTGAAGCCTATTTGGGGGGTCTCTTCATTCAGCATGCACGTTTTAACAGATACCTCTATCAAAAAACAACCAACCAACCAAATATACAGAAAATCAGAAAAAACTGTAGAAGACTTGAGCAACTCTCAACCAACTTGACTAAACTGACTCTTATAAAATACTACTCTGGCTGGATGTGGTGGCTCACACCTGTAATCCCAGCACTTTGGTCGGCCGAGGCAGGCAGATCGCCTAGGGTCGAGTTTGAAACCAGCATGGCCAACATGGTGAAATCCCATCTGTACCAAAAATACAAAAATTAGCCCGATACAGTGGTGGACGCCTGTAATCCCAGTCACTCAGGAGGCTGAGGCAGGAGAATGGCTTGAACCCAGAAGGCAGAGGTTACAGTGAACCAAGATCATGCCATTGCACTCCAGCCTGGGTGACAGAGTGAGAATCCATCTCAAAAAAAAAAAGAAAGAAAAAAAACCCATTCTATTCAAAAACAGCAAAATACAATTTCTGATTAAATACACGTAAAACATTTTTAAAAACACACTATAGTCTAGTCCATAAAACTGATGTCTATAAATTTAAGTTTTAAATTATACAAAATAATTCTCTAATGAAAATGAAATGAAATTAGAAATCAATAATAAAAATATGTCTGAAAAATTCACAAATATTGAAAACTAAATGACACATGTAAATAATCAATGAATCAAAGAATGTAAAAGATAATTTAGAAACTATTTTTAACTGAATGAAAATAAAAAATATCTTAAAATATTTATGTTGCCAAATCATCTTACATATTAATAGCATAAAAAGCTTTTATTAGAAAAGAGATTTCAAATCAACATATCAGCTATCAATATAAGAAACTAGAAAAGCAAATTTAACCTACTGTAAGAAGACAGTAACTAATAAAGCAGAAATCAGTGAAAAGAAAATTTTTACCTGAATGGTAAATAAGCACAAAAAAATGCTACTTATCATTAGTCATTAGTAAAATGCAAGTTAAAACTACAGTGATATACCAAAACACATAGTTTAGTATGTCTAAAATTTATTTATTTATTTACTTATTTATGAAACAGGGTTTTGCTTTGTCACCCATGCTGGAGAGCAGTGGTGCGATCTTGGCTCACTGCAACCTCCACCTCCCAGGTTCAAGCGATTATCTTGCCTCAGCCTCCTGAGTAGCTGGGATTATAGGTGCCTGCCACCACGCTTGGCTAATTTTTGTACTTTTAGTAGAGACAGGGTTTCACCATGTTGGCCAGGCTGGTCTCGAACTCCTGACCTCAGGTGATCCATCCACCTCAGCCTCCCAAAGTGCACCCAGCCAGTATAAAATTTAAGAGGCTGATCAAAACAAATGTTGACTAGGATGTGAAGCAACCTCTCGCTCAGATTTTCTCTTAAATACTGCTAGAGAGAAAGTAAATTTGAAAAATACCACCACTTTGGATAACAGTGTGGCACTTTTTAAAAAGTTAAATATATACTTATGATATGATTCAGCCATTTTGTTTCTAGGAATTTATATTAAGGAAAAGAAAGACTTCATTAATGTGATACAAAGACTTGTACACAAATATTTGCAACTAGCATGATTTATAATGATCAATAACTGGGAATTGCCCAAATATACATCAATATGTGAAGAGATAAAAAGAAATTAATTCTTTACTCATGCAGTGAGATAGATGAATCTCAAGATAACTTTGCTAAGTGAAAATAAGACATTAAAAATGATATATATTGAAGGACTTCATTTACATTAAATTCTATGAATTGCAAACTAATCTAAAGTGACAGAAAATTGATTGACTGGAAAAAAACAGAGGTAAGTAGGCAGGAACACAGGAGAAATCACAAAGGTACAGGCTTAGAGAATCTTTTCCAGGTAATTTATATGTTAATTATATTGATGTTCTTATGGTTTTGTGCATATATATTTTCTTGAGACATCAGATTATATACTTTATATATGTGCAATGTTAATTATATCTCAACATATCTGGTAATAAATTCAGAAAGATATATGTGTGATACTTAATGTCTCTCCTCCTGTCTTTTTATCTGTAAGATGAACACAATATTAGACCTGCCTTCCATAGTGCTTAGCATATAGTAAACAATTTATATTACTCACTAGTATTTGTGTTGACTGCTCTACAACTAACATAACTTTCTCCCAAATTTAGGGCCTAAACACTTTTTACTAGATCTATTAAAATGTGCAAATATCCTGAGATTTTGTGAAATGAGTGATTAGAATGATTACAGGGAAAGTTTAGGGAAAAAAAATCCAAAACTATAGACCCCTTGGGTCAGAGACTTACAGGTTGGGTGAGAGAATGGTGCCATCTTCCCACTGCCAAGATCCATTTGTTGGAATATATACTAGTCCCATCCAGTGGTATGACTTCACCAATTTAAGGAAATCCTGTTTGAAACCACAAATAAACTACAAGTAAAATCAGTGTTCATAATTTTAGTAAATTCAAGATCGTAACTATTTCATCTGTTCTCACACTTGTAAAAAAAATACATTCTGTCCCCTAAATAGCATAATTTCCATCTGGGCAACACATACATGATACCTGCAATTTCTGTGCTTTTGTTTTTTTTTTTTGAGACGGACGGAGTTTCGCTCTTGTTACCCAGGCTGGAGTGCAATGGCGCGATCTCGGCTCACCGCAACTTCCACCTCCTGGGTTCAGGCAATTCTCCTGCCTCAGCCTCCCGAGTAGCTGGGATTACAGGCATGTGCCACCATGCCCAGCTAATTTTTCTATTTTTAGTAGAGACGGGGTTTCACCATGTTGACCAGGATGGTCTCGATCTCTTGACCTCGTGATCCACCCGCCTCGGCCTCCCAAAGTGCTGGGATTATAGGCGTGAGCCACCGCGCCCGGCCTCTGTGCTTTATTTTTAATGAAGAAAGATTTAGGGTTGTTATTAGAATAACCAAGTCACAGTGTCTCTTTTATGTTTCAGGTTCATATTCCAGTGAGTTGCCTCAGATGTTAGGATTAAACATAGGATGGGAAATTAAATTACTCAACCTGTTCCGCTTTGCTGTATACTTTCAGAAGGCTGGCATTTTGAGACATACAAGAAGCCTGGCTCTCATACCAGTTTTTATTCTCATTAAAAAATTGGTAGCAGTTATTTCTATGACATATCCAGTTTTTAGGACATGGGCCACAGTAACTTTCTAGAAAGAGAGAATATATTATTAACACCATACATCTGAACATTATAGCAGATGTTATCTAGACAAGTTAAATGTCTTTTTCACTCCAATGCTAAAATTTCAGATTATTAAATTATTACAGTCATAACCAAAGACATATCTCTACATATTCATAGACAGAGGCCAGGGAGGGTGTGGTGTCTCATGCCTGTAATCTTAACACTTTGGGAGCCCTAGGCGGGTGACACATTTGAGGTTAGGAGTTTGAGACCAGCCTGGACAACATGATGAAACTCCTCCTCTACAAAAATACAAAAATTAGCTGGGCGTGGTGGCACATGCCTGCAGTCCCAGTCACTTGGGAAGCTGAGGTATGAGAATCACTTGAACCCAGGGGATAGAGGTTATGGTCCCAGGTACTTGGGCGGCTGAGGCATGAGAATCTCTTGAACCTGGGAGGCAGAGTTCTGAGATCACCCCATTCCACTCCAGCCTAGGTGACAGAGAGAGACTCCATCTCAAAAAGAGAGAGAGAAGGATGTCAAACCTAAGTAGCCTCTGCTCTTATAAGTATTTCCTCATTGTTAAAAGAAAAACAGAAGCCATAGTGCATTATGGACTAGAATTAAGTATTTACTTTTTCCTTTTTTTTTTTACATCATCGAATACATGCCTACACAATAGTGTAGGTAAATACATACAATATATGCTCTAAAATATTTTTAAAATTCACTTACCGATCAAGGGAACTTGAACTTCTTGGTTGAATAATGCTATTAAAATAACCGTAAATATTGAAAAAGTTTGTATTGTTGGTAACATAATATAAGCAAATATAGTTTACAAATTTCTGGGCTAATAGCAAAAATGTGACAAAGGTAAATTCAATATTTCTAGTTTATGTTTCTGTGTTTCTGAATACTAACAAAGGCAGTACATTATAATTGTTAACAATGTTGCAATCTACCTCTCTATTTTCACTTACAATTTAGGAATACGGCAGTCCATATTGTTACCATAACAATGAAACGGATTCCCATAGCTACAGCAATGAAACAGCAGAAAAATAATGGAGTGACTGTCAAAGAAAAAAGAGACAGATCAGAAGAGGAGGCATAAAGGGTTTGGTATCTTCGTATTTAATATAAATATTAGAGTTACTTTTTTAATGTAGTATAAGTCCTTTTCCTGCCTTAATTTTTTTTCCCAGAACAGAATGTGAATACCTTGCAAATGATCAAAAATGAAGAGTACAACAACATAATATTTCCTCCTATCCTTCTGTAAAAGTTCCCCAGTCATCCCAAGAGTAAATTATGCTTATGATTTATTATTTTCTATGCAGATATGATAATAAACATAAACAAAGAAAGAGGAAGCATCATCAAGATGGCTAACTACAGGCACCCAGCACTCACTTTCACAAAGAAGGACCAAAACAACGAGTAGATAACCACACACTGAATAGTGTTGAAGGGAGAATGCTGGAATTCAGCAAGAAAGGCACCAAGTCTCTCTAAGGCACAGACACTCAGGGTGATAGTACAGAAATGGAAGAGAAGCAGGTGACAAGGATCAGCTTGGAGCCAAGAGGGACTCTCCATGGAGGAGAAAAGGCAAACAGGAGCTCCCGAGAAGTCCACATTCCCATTACAAATGCCTGCTATCCTAGCTATAGGAGAGCTCCGCATTCCTTACTAGCCCCAAGTCCAGTATAGGGAGTTGACTGGAATCCACATAACTGCATTATTCCAGAGTGGGAATTCACACTGGGCTCCCCTGTCTTCTCGGGTACAAACTGCACCAGTTTGAGAGTGTAGCCACCACCAAAGTACACCCTGCTCTGGGGCCTAGCAGTTCCTTCATCTTCACATCCTTGGGTCCCAATAGCTTCTGCATCTTCACATGCCTGGGGCCCTGCTGACATTCCACCAAATCCACCTAGACGACTGCAGCATAGTAACACCAGGTGATCCCAGTCAGTGGCGTAGGTGTGACCCTTGCATCAAGCCCATAAAGAGCCCTATGTCCAGGGAACAAGTGATGCAGCCAAGTAGGGAGTGTGTCCTCAGCATAAAGAGAGTCATGCATGTGCCCCTCAGATTCCCAGAGCCACTTGCTTGGGGCCCACTGCCACCACTGCCAACAATCCTACTTTCCCCAGCAGCAGGCCAGAAGAGCATGGAATGATATATTCAAAATGCCAGAAAAACCTTTTGCCAAACAAGAATACTGTATCAAGCAAAGCTATCCTTTAGAAATAAAGGAGAAATATTCTTTTCCAGACAAGCAAAAACTGAAGGAATTCATCACCACTAGACTAGCTGCACAAGGGATGCTTAAGGGAGTCCTATATCTGGAAGCAAAAGGATAATATCTATCATCATGAAAATACACAGAAGTATTGAACTGGTAGGGCAGATATACAAATAAGAAAGAGAAAGGAATCAAACATTATCACCACAGAGAACCAGCAAACCACAAAGATAAACAAAGCAATAATAGAGGAGAAAAAATCAGTAGGTATGCAGAACAATGTGTATACCATAAAACAATTAAGAGCAAGGTGGCTGCGAAGAACCCTTTAGTGATTATCTTCTCACAGAAACATCAAATTAAATAACTATACATGCAAAAAAGTATGTTTAAAAGAATTCAAGAAATTAAGTGAATTATCACAGTACCCTGATTTTAGCATTATAACAAGAAAAAAACACATTAAATAGGTAAGAAAAGATGGCCTTGCCTTGCCTCTTCCAAACCCAGGTAGTTCAGTGCTTAGAGAGAAACTGCCTGCTTGGGAAAGGGAAATAACAGTGTGGGACTTTGTGTTGGAACTTAGTACTGGCCCCACCACATTGGAACACGGCAAAAGACAGAGACTGCAGGGCCCTTGATTTCAAACCAGTGCTCATATGGGGAGTATTTTGACCCATCATGGGCCAGAGGGGAGTCCACTGCCTAGGCAGGAGGAAACTTAGCCTCAGCCCACTTTATCATCAGCTGACTAAAGTGGCCTTGAGTCCCCAGAAAATTTCAGTGGCTGCTGGCCACAGCAACTATGGCCCTTGGGCAAGTCCTGGCACAGCACTGGTCTGGGAGGCTGTGGACAAACAGAAAGCTTTCCAAACCCAGAGAAAGATATGAATAACCAAATATAGGAAGGTCGAAGATTATCGAGCAGATTCAACCCAAATAAGATGACCACAAGGCATATAAAATTTAAATGTTCAAAGGTTGAGACATAGTGAGAATTTTAAAGAAAACAAAATTTAAAAAGCAAAATAAAATAAAAAGAAGCTTCAACACATCTGTTAGCAGACTTCTCTGCAGCAACTTTACAAGCCAAGAGGAAGTGGGGTGACATATTCAAAGAGCTGAGGGAAAAAACATGCCAACTGAGATACTGTACCCAACAAAACTATCAACACTATGGAGATAAAAGGTATTTCTCAGGCAAACAGAAGTTTAGTGAAATTGTTACCAGCAGATCTGTCTTACATGCTATGCTAAAGAGAGTTTTTCCGTCAGAAAAAAAGAATACAAATGTACAATAAGAAAACATTTGAAGGTATAAAACTCATTGATAAAAGTAAGTACACAGACAAATTCAGAATATTCTAATACTGTAGTTGTGGTGCATCAACCACTCAGATCTTTAGTATGAAGACCAAAAAACAACTCTATCAAAATAATAATGACTACAGTTTGTTAAGAGATAGTCAATGTAAAATGATGTAACTCCACACAAACATAAATAAACATGTGAGAGGAGATGGAATTAAAGTGTAGAGTTGTTTAGTTTTTCCTTTTCTTTTCTTTGTGATCAAAGTTAAGTTGTCATCGGTATAAAATAATTGCTGTAGCTATAAGATGGCCATTTAAGTCTCATAGTAACCACAAAACAAAACCCTGTAATAGATACACTAAAATGAAAATCAAGGAATTAAAATACACTGCTAGAGAAAGTAACTTAATCATAAAGAAAGACGAGAAGAAAGGAAGAGTTAGAAAACCACTAGAAAACAAGGAACAAAATGGCAATAGTAAGTTCTTATCTACCAATAATAACAACATTAAATGCAATGGGTCTAAATTCTCCAAGTAAAGATACAGAGTAAGTGAATGGATTAAACAAAACAAAACTATATATTGCTTATAAGAAACTCACTTTGCTTGTAAAAACACACATAGACTGACACTATAGGGATGAAAACAAATATTCCATGAAAATAAAAACCAGTAAAGAGCAGGCATAGCTATACTTAGACAAAACAATCTTTAAGTCAAAACACTAAGAAGAGACAAAGAAGACCATTATATAATGATAAACGGGTCAATTCAGCAATATAATATGTATATGTATACATATGCACCCAATACTACAGCATTCAGATATATTAAACAAATATTAATAGACCTGAAAGGAGAAATAGATTAATACAATAAGGGTAAGGTAGTTCAACCACTCATTTCCAGCAATGGACAGATCATTCAGGCAGAAAATCAGAAAAGAAACATCAGAGTAAAACTATAATCTAGACCTAATGAACCTAACTAAATGTACAGAACATTTCACCCAACTGCTAAAAAAATCCACATTCTTCTTATCAGCACATGGAACATTCTTCAGGATACACCACATGTTAGGTGACAAGTCTCAACAAAGTTTCAAAATTCAATATTACATCAAGTAATTTTCTAACAACGGTGGAATAAAACTAGAAATTTATAACAAGAGGAATTTTGGAAACTGCACAGATGTATGAAAATTGAACAACATTCTTTTGAAAACTCTCTACAGTGAAAAATACTGATGAATAAAACTGAGGAGGATGCAAAAATAATGGAAAGATATCTCATGTTCATAGACTGAAAGAATATTATTAAAGTAATCATACCACTCAAAGCAATCTACAGATTCAATGCAGTTCATATCACAATACCAATAACATTCTCTATGGAAATAGAAAAAAAAATCCTAAAATTTATATGGTATCACAAAAGACTAAATAGCCAAAGCAATCTTGAACAAAAATGAAGAAAACAGGTGGCATCACATTACCTAACTTCAATATATACTATAAAACCATAATAACCAAAACAGTATGGCATTGGTATAAAAATAGACATTTACACCAATAAAACAGAATAGACAACCCAGAAATAAATTCATGTATTTACAGCCAACTGATTTTTCCAGAAAGACACCATTAGCATACACTGGAAAGAACAGCCTCTTCAATAAATGGTGCTGAAAAAACTGGATATCCACATAGAGGAATGAAATTAGTCCCTGATCTCACACCATATACAAAAATCAACTCAAAATGGATTAATGACTTAAATGTAAGATCCAAATCTATAAAACTACTAGAAGAGATTGGAGAAACACCATAGGACATTAGGCAAAGATTTTATGGATAAGACTTCAAAAGTACAGGCAACAAAAGCAAAATGAAACAAATGAGGCTGTATCAAACTAAAACACTTCTTTACTGAATAGGAAACAATTTACAGAGTGAAGAGACAACTTGTAGAATGAGAGAAAATACTTGCAAATGATTCCTCTGACAAGAGACCAATATCCAGAATACACAAGGAATTCAAGGAATAGCAGTAGCAGCCACAACAACAACCACCAATTTGAAAATGGGCAAAGGATTTGAATAGATATTTCTCAGAAGAAACACAAATAGCCACAAAATATATTTTTTAAAAGTTAAATGCCATTCATCATCAAGAAGACCAAAATCAAAACCACAATGGATATCATCTCACCCTAGTTAGAATAGCTATTATTAAATAGACAAAAATAACAAATGACAGTGAGGATTCACGGAAAGTCTAAGGTTTATTTAATGTTGGTGGGAATGTAAATTAGTATAGTCATTATGGAAACAGTATGGAGGTCCCTTAGAAAACTAAAAATAGAACTACCATATGATTCAGCAATCTCACTTTGTCCAATGGAAAGGAAATCAGTATACTGAAGCAATGTCTGCATCCCCATGCTTACTGCAGCATTATTCACAATAGCCAAGATATGGAATTAACCTGTGTCCATTAAAGAAGAATGGCTAAACCAAATGTGTGTGTATGTATATATATACATACATGTGTATATATGGATGTGTATTCACACACACACAGACACATACACACACACACACAGAAACACAATGGAATACCATTCAGTCATAAAAAAGTGTGAAAAGAATGAAATCCTATTATTTGCACCAACATGGATGAGTCAGAAGCACATTATGTTAAGTAAACCAGGCATGGAAAGTTAAATACCACATGTTCCCACTCATATGTGGGAGATAAAGACTTTTAGGTCATAGAAGTAGAGAGTAGAAAAAGAAATGATAACTGTTTGAGGTGATGGATGTGCCAATTACCTTGATTTGGTCATTACACATTGTATAGTTGTATGGAAATACCACTGTATCCCATTCGTATATATAATTATTACATGTCAACTAAAAAGAATAAAAAATATCATTCCCCTTAACTACATATTAAAAATACATTTTAAAGAAAGTATAATATACAAAATATCCCATGTATTTTTTTTTTTACCTAAGACTATCCTGATGATTAGTCCATATCATGGCATATAAGGATACAGTTTATAAATAGCTGCACTGTATTTCACTGACAACTCTGGACAGAATCTAATTTTTGACAGACTTTCAATTTTTTCCAGTGGATATTTAACTTGTTTCTTGGGTCTTGCTATTAGAAATAATGATGAATTTCATACCCATCTGTGCATATTTTTGAGTCCCGATCTGGGATAAATTCCCACAATGATAATTACTGAGTGGAAGGGCATGTGTGTTTTAAATTTTGGTTAAGAGTCGAAAATTTCAGTCCAAAGAGGGATTATTGCATACAGCACTTTGCATTCCTAAATTAATTCTGGAAAAGTGATGCTATTTGTCAACAATTTATTTCTTAGTTTTTAATCAAAATGAATAGGTGAGGGTCATCTGTTTTCTTCTTTTTCATACCAACTATATACAGGTCTACTATCAAAAATATTCTGCCTTGAAAATAGACCTTGGAGAGCATATCTTCTTCACTGCACTCAGACACAATTCTATAAATAATAATCAAGTTATCACTTCTATAATGTTTAAGAACATATCTCTGGAAGATTTTTTAATTTCTTTTCTCTTCTGTTTCTGATTTCTATTTAGTTTTTTGTTTGTTTGTTTTTTTCAGTGTTCTCGTAGGAACTCCTAATAAATAAGCTCATCATTTTTAGGGCATGATAAGATTCCAAACTCAGTAGCTTTTAATACCATAATTTTATTATATATTTTAATATTATATTATAGTTCGTATTATTCCTACTTTCCTCATGAAGGTAAACTGAATGGTTGTCATGATCTAATCACATCGTTTCCAAGATTTATTTTAATATACTGAGAGAAGACAAATGGAACACAGGACTTACAGTTTTCTCTACATTTGCTTTTGATTACTGGACATCTTTGCTTTTGCCATCGTGTCGAAAAGTCACCTTTTGCTAGCTCCAAGTTATAATTACGAAATTCGCTCATTGCTAGAGAAAAAGAATTCAGGTTTGTATACATGAGTCAAGACCTTTCTGCCATTTGGGGCATAAATTTTAAAAATTCAACTTGCTGTTTCCATCGATGTACTTCCCATGAGTATCCTTTTAAAAGTACAACATGAACTTACTTTTGTTTTATATGACTACATTATTATGTTTACACTTTACTATATAAATAAAATTATATTTATTCCATGGGAAAGTATCGTTAGCAAAATCCTATATACTATTAAAATTAGTTAATTCATAATGTATCATAAAATGTAACATTACAAGAAAGAGCCTTGATACAGTAAAAAGACAGATGTAGGGAGAAAGACATGTATTTAGATCACAGATCCATACATACAAACTTGATAACTTCACAAATAATTTAGCCTTTGCATCCCGGTTTCCTAACACACAAAAGAATAAAGAAATCAAAAAGAAGAGGATACTTTTACAATCAAGTATGGGTATTTTAAAAATAAAATATAATGAACTTAGCATCAATGACATCAATCATTTAGTAAACTCTTAGTAAATACTAGAGTGTCTAATTTTCTTTATAGTGAAGGATATACACAGGCTAAAATAGTAGGATCTAACACTTTGGAACAAGGACAGATAATCTTGCCTCTGAACAAAATACCTAAAGAATCATTTTACTTTCTTGAAATACTAATTATTTACTGATGATTAATATTTACTTAAAAGCCTTTTTTAAAACTTTTAGGTTCAGGGGTGCATGTGAAGGTTTGTTACATAGGTAAACTTATGTCACAGGGGTTTGTTGTACGAAAGCCTTTTACAAAGTGAATGATAATATGAAGTATCTTTTATAGCTAAAATTAGACATTGTTTGCAAATGTAATATCTAACTCAGTTATTAAACATATGGAGTAAAGAGTATAGGTATCACTTTGACATTGTTTGCAAATGTAATATCTAACTCAGTTATTAAACATTTGGAGTAAAGAGTGTAGGTATCACTTTATGGATGGAGAAATTTAATGTTAGAGATGGCAAAAATCATATAGCTTATTTAATATGTTAGCAACTGTGAATAAGTTATAAATTAATAAACACCTTTAAGATAAGAAGCACTTCAAAATACATGTCACTTGATTTGTATATTGCACAAATCTACTAAGATAAATATGGAATGTTTCATGCCTGTATGTGATGGAAAAAGAAACGAAACTACACAGAGGTTGTAATTGACTCCACTTCAAATCTAGAGGGTGGTCAACGTTGAGTAAAATTCAAGTCTGACTCCACATCTCTTCCTCGATTTCAAGCTGTCCCAAATTGTGAGTGACTTTACCATAGTATAGTTAATAAAATAAAGGGAAAAACTTTTTAAGTTTTTGGACTTGATTTAAAATACAATATGAACCTAACATGAAATCGACATAAATAGAACATGAAAAGAATTGGAGTAAATTGCTTGCCTATACCTTATATGCTTGTATACAATTCTCAGTATCTTAAAATTGTATAAAAACAAAACTACACACTTAAGTGGAAAAAACATACCCAAGCTGTGACGAGGCCTCCGACCACGAATCCACCCCATTGTATAATTATACCTCAGAAAAGAATCTGAAGTCTTCAATCCACAAAGGATTCCTGAATAAAAAAAAAATTGAGCATTGGTGTTTTCTTTTCTTTCCTTGTGGTGAGATACAATATTTTGAATAGAAAAGTAAAATGCAGAAACTTTTCCCCTGTGCATGTCTCTAAGGAAAGAATGGAATAACAATTCACATAAAGCTGGGCAAAATTAATTTTATACATTTCTCTTGGTTGTGAAAGAATTGCCAATTATTTCAAAATGTCATAACAATATAATGACTATTTTAATTCACCTACGTTGAGATATTTAATACAAATAGTTTATATTACTGATATTAGATAACAACACACATAGTTTTCTCTTTATAGTTGTTTACTGCTTCTTGGCCTTTTAGCTAAGATCAAGTGTTTATACTTGTTTATTTTATTTGGTGATAATTTAGTTTTCTGCAAGCGAAACTCAGGTAAGTTATATGCGTTTTTGCTGAGTGTCTTTGCCTAGTGCATTTTAATCCAACATGCCCATATTATCATCAACAAATCATTGTCACCATCATCATTAACAAAACTAATTTCACATGTTTATATAGTAACATCTTAGTAATGCATAGCAGAGCTTCCAGAAAAAATAACTATTTAGTAAATATGCATACTGCTTAGATTTAAAAAATAAAAGCTATTTCACATTTGATTATGATAGTTGGGAAGCACAGACACGACTTGTTTCACCTTGCATGTAAAGATGTGTATCAAAGGTTGCCCCTAAAACATCAGAAAACTCATACATTTGAGAATTCAAATAGAAACTCAACTCTTTTAATCCGAAATATAGATTCATTTTTCCAGTTTTGCTTAGAGACAAAGCTTCTTTTTATGGCAACATTACAACTTCTGACTCTTCAGTAAGTATATCCTAATTACCTATCATCAGATAAGGTGATAGAACATACACCAGAAATGATAAACATTCTCTATCTCAGGAGCTCTATTCGAGCACCTAAGAAACAATTAGAATTACCTTATAGCATAAATATTTTAGTTTTTTGAATTGAAATATAGTTCCTCATATATTGAATAAACACACACATGTACACACATACACACACCTGCTCAGAAAGGGATGATCTTGATTCTTGTGGATAAAAGCCTTCTATAAAACTAGAAAATTTAGACATGCCCCGAATTCCTCATCTTGAATTGAAAGTAGAGATACTCAGTACATTTTTATCTTTGAGAAAGATATGACAAATATTATAATCTCATCTTCCTGCGGAAAAACATAACACAAACCACAGTATTTGCACTTTATCACCACACAAAATGTTATTGCTAATTTGGTAAAAGAGATGGGACCACCTACTGTTTGATAAATGTTAGGTTGGTGCAAAAGTAGTTGTGGTTTTTCCATTATGTTTAATAACATTTTAGGACTCGAAAATGATGAATTTAAATGATGCCAAATTATAAAATCCTTTATATTTTAGAGATTCACTTTAATTCCAATTAATACCTCAGGTTTTACTGTGTTATTTACAAAGCAGAATTCTAAATGTACATTAAAGTACACAAGTCAAGACCAGTAAAATCGATATTGAAGGTAAAGAAAATGAGGGAGCCTTGTTCTACGGCATAGAGACATGTGTTAAAACCATATTCACAAAGACAGAGTGACATGTGAACGTAGACAAATTGAGAAAGGAAAAAGTCATGTGCATAGATTTAAAAACATAAGGTAACGTTGCAGATAAAGTGAGAGATTAGCTCCTATTCAATATTTAGTCCTGGGTTACTATCACACTGGCCTTTAAGTTAAAAAAAATTAGTCCAGGGAAATTTTAAATTTTAACATAGAAATATGAAATTAAATATCTATCATATATACATCATATGCAGAAGAATTAGAAACTTAAATATATATCCCAGTATACATAAAAATAAGTAAATATATGAGTTGATACCAATGAGCAAGATTAGCTAAATATATATTTTATTTATATTTATTAATTTAAAATATCAACATCAGACATCATTTAAAGCAATATAAGATGAACAGATTAGAAAATTTTAACAAAAACCAAAGTTATTAATCCCAAAACTCTGAAATATAAGGAAGGAAAACAACTTTCGTGTGGTGATATGTTAAAGTTTGACATAAATTTATTCAACATTTTTTTTCTTTAGCAAATGCTGTTTGCTACACACTTTTCTAGGCCTTGAGAATGTCAAAGCAAACAATCCAAAAGAAAGTTTTTGCCCACATGAAAATTCCTTTTTTTTTTTTTGAGATGATGTTTCCCTCTTGTTGCCCAGGCAGGAGTGCAATGGCATGATCTTGGCTCACTGCAACCTCTGCTTCCCAGGTTCAAGCAATTCTCCTGTCTCAGCCTCCAGAGTAACTGGGATTACAGGCATGTGCCACCACTTGCAACTAATTTTTGTATTTTTAGTAGAGAAGGGGTTTCACCATGTTGGTCAGGCTGGTCTCATCCTGACCTCAGGTGATCCTCCTGCCTCGGCCTCCCAAAGTGCTGAGATTACAGGTATGAGCCACCACACCTGCCTGGAAGTTACTTTTTAGTTTAGGTGATAGAAAATGAATAAGTATAAAACAATTTCCAAATTAAACAAGATAGGTGAATATAAAACAAGTTGAAAAACATATGTTGTTTTCTGACATACCAAGAGTCTTTTCAGCTAACCAACATTTTCTATTAATTATATTCAGGTGCTCTTTTTTTCCTATTCCTATCCCCTTTACTCAATTTTGTATGTAAGAGAAAACATTTTTTTTTTATTCAACACTAAGAGCAGAAAGCAGAGAAAACATTTTCTACTAACTATTTTATATAGTAAAAATAGATCTACATAGAGGAAGTATAGGCTGGTATTTTCTTGCAACCACATTTTAACAACTATTTGGTTTTCAAAAGGAAATGAATAAATGTGTAAATGCAGGCTTTTTATGGGGAAAACCTGAATCACAGTTTCAAGAAGAGTTATTTTTTTATATGTAGTTTTCAATTAAAAAGAGATTATTTTTCTCTTAAATACAAAATTGAGTAAAGGGGATAGGAATAAGATAAAAAAGACCATTTGAATATCCTACCTATTTAACTTAGTTCAAGTCGCAACTCACAACCAACAGGGAAGTGACAAGATATACCTACAAGAGGATTTTTGAAATAAATACCATGATAAAGCTAAGCACATGGAGAGTTTTATTATCATATATAAAGGTCCCTAAACCAACTGAGTGTGGAAAGGATTCTTAAAGAAGAGAAGTCTAAAATGAGTCCTGTATGTTAAGTTAGAACAGTTACTTAGATAAATAGTATGTTCAAACTCGAATTTCTTTCTCAATGTTGAACATATGCTCACTTTGCTATAGTCATGATGGTAAACTTATTAGGGATTTTCTGGGCATTTGTACTGGTTTATGCTGTGTGGAATTGCAAAAGGACATGGTGTAGCTTTCAGAAAAAATACTTTCTAATAAATGGAATAAAACCAACATAAATGAACTTAAGCAGAAAGAATAATTTGACTATGAAAGTAACTGATCAAACTTCATATAGAAGTTTCTAAGTTTTTTATTTATGCAACTTTTAAAAACTATTGTTGGAAGAAAAGTTACAGTATTTTGCAAACAGCCTAGGCTCAAGTCATTTGAGAACACGCATCACCACAATAAACTATTTGAGTACGTTCATTAGTTGAGAAGAGCCAACGATCAATTGGCCTTTTTGGTCAGTAAGTTAACTTACACTGTGGCCTCAGAAAATCCCTCTCTGGTGGTACACAGGAAAGACTTAACACGCACAGTGCAGGTTTGTGGTGAGAAACAGAGCTTTTGGCAGGATGCTCATCTCAAGCTCTGACGCTATAAAATTGGATGTGGTCAGAGGTGTTTTTTACTGGACACTTGCCCAAATATGAAAGTGTAAGACGTGCAGTTATTGCCAAGCAAAAAATTTTTAATCTTGACTTTTTGGTAAATGTGTTTAAATTGACAAAAGACACGTCAAAAAGGACAAATTTTTAAAATTCACATGGACAATAAAGAAAATAAAAGGGACTGGAAGAAATAGAGCTGAGTTGTTGGACACGCAGGGCGTCTATGGCCACACCCCCGTGATGCACCCAGTCTCGTCTGGACATGCGTGGGCACATTGAAGCAGAAGTGAAATGATTACTGATGCTAAGGTTAAAAATCTGCAAACATATTTTAAGAAATATTTTTTTCCAGAACCTATTTTGCATTCAAGTAGGTATTACATACTGGGCTAGACATATATAATGTCAACAGGTGTATTATAGTTATATAAACTTAAGGCAAAGATTCCATAAATCTTGAATGTATACTTTGGAGGAAAAACAGGTCATTATCTTGGCAATTAATTAATATTCTCTGAGACAGTTTCCTAAGCCAGGAATGATTAAATGATTTTTTGGCCCCATCTCAGTTGAAGCTTTCTGTAATTCTAAAATTTAGCAATTTAATTAAAATATTTTTAGCAAACAAGTTATGTTAACTAATCCATGGTAGGACACACCATTTTTTGTTTGCTTGTTTAATTGCAATCTATATAGTATGACGGAACAGAAAAGTGTTTTTTTTCCCACTGGATTATAAAGATATAAACTATCTTTATAATTGTGCATAAATGGCCATAAATAAATAGTAACCTTTAAAACTTGTTCTCAAGAAAGTCACACGCAGGACTTGCAGGTCAGATGACATCATATTTTTTGTTAGCATCCTGGTGACTTTTCTCTGATTGCGTGTTGGTTTGCCATTTAACCTTTCATTTCCTGCTATGGTGATAATCTCCACATTTGTAAATGGAATGATGCCTTTAACGACTTTTGCCTCTCGCATTCAAGTGAATTTTGTGTTTACTTCAGTGCTTCAAATATCAAAGAAGTCTAGCATTTTGAAGATGTCTTGAATTTGGTGTTGCTTACCACAAGTGCTTAAAGACACAGATTTAGGGATAAGAGAGCATTTTTTTTCCCCAAAAGAAAATGGCTCATTAATTGTAGATCTGAGTGAAGGCAAGATGTCTGAAGTCATGTTTTTTTCCCTCTTATGTACCTAATGGCAGGTGGTCAAATTTTTATTGACTTATTTCTCCCTCCTTTATCCCCAGTAACTTCATTTGTGTGCAGAGGAATACAAAATGCAAATGATTTAAAGTGTACAACTCTTGCATTATGCTTTGGCTGATACAAACATCACAACTAAAATCTTACAATGCTCCTTTTAAGGTCTTAGCCAAGAGGCCCTGGAGTTTTTCTACACTGAAATAATGTTGTCTTCATTTTTTTTTTTCTTTTTGAGATAGATTTTCACTCTGTCTCCCAGGCTGGAGTGCAATGGCATGGTCTCGGCTCACTGCAACCTCCACCACCTGGGTTCAAGAGATTCCCCTGCCTCCTCCTGAGTAGCTGGGATCACAGGTGCCCACCACCATGCCTGGCTAAGTTTTGTGTTTTTAGTAGAAACAGGATTTCACCATGTTGGCCAGGCTGGTCTCAAACTCCTGACCTCAAGTGATCGCCTTGCCTCGGCCTCCCAAAGTGCTGGGATTACAGGCATGAGCCACCACACCCGGCTCATGTTGCCTTCACATAGACATAGAAGTAATAGTACCAAAGCTTAACAAAAGTTACTAAATAAATAGGAAATAATTGATATTGTCGTAATATCACTCTATATTGATTTGTTGAGCTTTTATCTATTATGGGGCAAGCATATTGATTGGCCATGAATAAACAAAGTTCAAAAAAGTGTAAAGCACAATCCCTGTCATCTAGTTGTTCACCCTCTATTTAAGGCATACACAGAAGTATATGGTTTTAAATTAGTATGTAATTCACTGTGGTAGACACAAACTCTGGGTGTTTTAAATGATAGCATTATGGATGACAATTTTCTAATAGGTCCAGCATTAGGGAAGGTGTCCTAGACTGGGTGATTTCCGGAGAATTTTAAAAAAAGTATGTTAGAAATCAAGGTAAAATCAAGGTGATGTTGTTAAAACAGACTGAAGACAGAAATCTCAAAAACATAGAAGAGAGACATTAAAATGAACAAATAAAGCTGTATGTAGTCCAGTATTGTTGGTTTACTAAGTGGAGTTATGAAAAGCTGGAGACAAAAATAGAGCCTGGAGCAACCTGGGCCCAGAGGAAAGGGTGTGAGTGAGAAGAAAGGTTGATAATCTAAGCTA